ATCATTTAAGTAGGCTATGTCGTGGCCGGCCGAGTGTCCTCTTTTTTGGAAATCAAAATATGGTCACTGTTACACCCGCAAACGTAATAACAGCCCACAAGCGTAATAAACCACAAACGTAATACAAATCTGCAGCTTTGAATGTAATAATCCCGCAAATGTAATAAATTTCCTACAAACGTAATAGCAGCTGCCTACTACAAACGTAACACACAATTTTCCGCAAATGTAATAACTATTACATTTGCAGGAGATTATTACATATGTGGGAAGGTGAAAATCTAAACTGTAATAACTTCCCACAAATGTAATATGAGACTGAATAATGATCTTTGTGGTTGTTGTTGTTTGTTTGTTTACTTAAACACCTGCCAATAGTGATGCGTGTGTTGACAAGCAACCCGCAGGTCGGGTGGGGCGGGTCAGAAAGTGACAGAGCAGCGTTCTGAGTAAGTTAGAAATAACTTACAGAAACACACACATACAAACACACACACACACACACACACACACACACACACACACACACACTGGTCATTCCTTGTCAGTTCACAGAATTACTCCGTGGCAGCAAATATGTTGTTTAATTTTTTTTTTTTTCTTTTCTTTTCTTCTGCCTCTTGTTAATACAGATTTCTCTGCAGCATCTGGCCTACAGTACCTGTTCAGCACCTCGTTAGTTAGCAACTTGTATAAGCTGCAGATTTTTAGTATTTGTGGTTTATTCATTCAATTAGATTCAAATTTGCTTTATTGGTGTAAATATCATAACAACAATATTGCCAAAGCATCAAGAATCAATTCAACAAAAATTAATGAATTTCATGAATTAAAACAAGAGTAGCATAGTACTGTTAAAACTTGTTCTGTTTGTGGGCGTACATGTGTGTTCGAGTTATATTATTGTATGTGTGATGTTGTATATGTGTGTGTATATGGGGAACAAATAATTTAAAGAAAAATAATAATAATAATAGTAATAATAATGATGATTAAAATAATTGTGATTATTATCACAATTAAGTTATCTTTTTTTATGAAAATAAATGATAATTTAATCATTAAAGATTCTTTCAAGACATGTTTTAACGTATATAAATGTTTCCCTTTGAATAATAATGTATGATATAGTTTTTCCACAAAAAATTCAATTATCTTGTTAAAATCCCTAAAATGACATCTACACCTTCTCCTTCATTAAAAATGCTAGAATCTATCAATATGCCAATTTTATTCTTCATCCCAAAGGTTTCACTGTTAAGTCCATTCTCAGTGTATGTGCACTGGAGGCTTCAAGTTTCCACATCACACTTCTGTAAGTTGAACATTGGACCATGACTGGCTTCTAAAATATTTGTGATGTCATAAATCATGCTTGTAGCCCTTCCAAAGAATGAACGACATATTCAAGTTTTTGGCTTTTGATATGCAGACATATTTTAATTAAATGGTTCAAACATAGGCTACATAAGCCACCAACATAGGCTCGTAGACCTAGCCCTTAAAATCATATGAGCATTTTCAGCAGATAAATGTGAAAACAGCCTTCGAGTGTCAAGCTCTGCACATACATCATTCTGCACAGTGAGGCTCAAACATTCATCTGTAGGAACAAGAAGAAAACACATTTTTGAGTGGAGGAGGATTAAGTTATTGTAAACCATGGTTTTTAAAACCTTACAACCTGCACCTGACCTCCTATAAGAGCCAACCCATCCCGCAGCGCCGCTGTCCGAGGTGCTGAACAGGTACTATAGGCCAGATGCTGCAGAGAAATCCGTATTAACAAGAGGCAGAAGAAAATAAAAGAAATCCAATTAAACAACATATTTGCTGCCACAGAGTAATTCTGTGAACTGACAAGGAATGACAGTCTCATATTACATTTGTGGGAAGTTATTACAGTTTAGATTTTCACCTTCCCACATATGTAATAATTTCCTGCAAATGTAATAGTTATTACATTTGCGGAAAATTGTGTGTTACGTTTGTAGTAGGCAGCTGCTATTACGTTTGTTGGAAATTTATTACTTTTGCTGGATTATTACATTCAAAGCTGCAGATTTGTATTACGTTTGTGGTTTATTACGTTTGTGGGCTGTTATTACGTTTGCAGGTGTAACAGGTCACCCTACAATATGGCATCACCATCACAAAGTATTGTCATGTATGTTTTGTTTTACCACAATTCCTTTGGACTGTTTGTTTGTTTCCCTGTGCCATTCAGAAGCTGTTTTCTGTCTACCTTCTACCATCTGCCTGATTCCATGTCAACATCATTAGGCACAAAAACCACCTGGCTATGGTCAGATCATGTTTTGGCTTAAAATGCCTGACGTTGGGTGCATCCCACTAGCTAGTCTGACTCCTTCGCAGAGGTCGGGCTTCAAGTCCACAGCCCTTTGCTGCATGTCGACCCCTCTCTCCCCCCTTTCATATTTATCTTTCCTATTTAATAAAGGCAAAAGCCAAGAAAAATCTTAAAAAAAAACAAAATGCCTAGTTTTGAGGGCACATCCCTGCAAAAAAAAAAAAAAGAAGCTTTTCTTGGCCCTATCCCTGGTGGAAATACAGCAACGGGTCACCAAAAAACACCCACATCTGGCACCTAAAAAGTCACTGGAAACACACACACACACACACAAGGCGCTTAAACACAGCCAGTTTTGTTTTGGTCTGCAGCTTGGCAGGCGTCCTGCTGAGGATGACAAAGTCAGCTCATATACGGCATCACTTTAGAAATGTCCAATGCTAGCATTTTCTTGTGGCTATTGGGTATGCATGAACATAGGACAGAATATATGCAATATAGGACATGATGTCATTCCTCAATTACTCCATAAGTTATTCATATTACTTTAGACATACATAAGGGTCCTCAGATCAGAGGAATCAAAGGGGTTTTTCATAAAAATTTAGTTAGTTAAGTTATGAATATTGTTTTAACAGGATAGTTAAAGTGGTGTTGTGACAGTATGCCAGGCGCCATCATCCTTGGGTACCGTGAAACAAGTGTCATAACATAACACATAATTGATGTGATATTCAAAGCCTAATTTTTATCCAAATGATATTCATACCAGTTCAAATAAACAATTTTGATCATATTTGCCATCTTTGCTGGGCAACAGGTTTATGTAAAACAAATAAAAGGCATGTCCCATATAGACGCCTGTCCCAAACCTGAGCCTGTTGAGTTCAGCAAATAATTGCCGGGGCTACTGATTGAAGTTTTACAGTAAGCGGTACACACACCAAATTATAATGAGGTGCTGATCCCTGGCAGTAGACTTAATTATAGAAAACAAGTGTGCAGAGTATGTGACACTTATTTTCTATAAACTGAAGATGGAAGTCGTCACACTCACTCTACTCCTAAGGATGATACCTTCAAGGTAACTTTTATCAAAAGTAACTTTTTTCATATTTGCTGAAACTGTCACTATATTATCACAGAACTAATTGGCAGAGATAATCTGTGGAAAAATCATACTCCTCTGCTTACTTTGTTGCCTTGTAGCACTTCTAATGGCCTTATGGCCCATGAATGAAAACAACCAATCAGCGCTGAGGAGTCTCTCTTTCTCATGTTACAGCTAAACAGTACACTAAAATAAAAAACCGAGGTGAGACATAGACAATGCAGTAACAGAATCTTGATACATTTTTGATCAGCACTGCCACCTTCACAGGCACTGCTCCTAGCCACTGGTACAGATATGTGGATGACACCTGGGTCAAACTCAAAACTAAGGAAGTGGAAACCTTCACAGAACACATTAACCCTATGGGCCCGAACGACGCAAAGTGTGACCAAATTCACACCTGTTCTTCTCTATGGATTTTCTCAGCAACCGTGCGTCATAGCGAGAAGCCACTTATATCACGTGAAACAGCGGAACCAAGGCCAAGACCAAGCACTTGACAGTAGTCCAATGTTTTCACAAGGAAAAAATGTATAAAGTTACACTAAAATTATGTATAACAAAGCTTTCATACAGCTTTGCACACACATTGCTCTTGGACGGATTACTCGCAAATGCAGGGTCGCACAGAAATTCCACCCATATCACATGAAAGCGCAGGACCAGAGCTTTCCGATGATACCAAACACATCATTGTGCCATCCCATCACGCTATAAATACAGATGAATTGTCCACAAAATAAAAACCTGACGAATTTCTTTACAATCCATTATACAGATCTTGTTATCAGTCACTTCATATAGTGAGGAATATCGTATCTTACCACGTCTTAGGCTTGTGTTTGTTTCTCCCTGCCTATCCACATTTGTAGTCCGGCTTTCAAGATGCAGATATCTCCATATTGTCCAATATTGTTGACACTCCATCAAACTTTGTAAGACAAAGTATTTCTGCAATTTGCTTTTTGTTCCAATGATTGAAGCATTCATAAGAAGACCAGCGCACTTCACCTTTGCGCAACCAGACAACTGTAGCCTAATTATGCATGCGTGACCAAGGATCAGTGTAACATTTTTGACATTTCTGTTTGTATCTTGAAGCTGTTTTATGCCAGGGTGTACAAAATGTGGTACAAACTAGAAAGCATGTCATATTTAGATGTGAAAAGTTCATTGACAAAGTGGCGATATTTGACTATTGGGATGAGAAGGCACTGAACTAAGCATGTGCAGTGTGAGTCAAGTGATTTGTAGCTTGTTCCTGGTTGGAGAAATTTAAAGTGTTACAATCATCCCATGTTACAACCATCCCCAGTCTCCCCTATTTGCGTGACGTATGTGTCAGAAAACTCACTTTTTGGCTACGTTTTAACATCTACTGGCTTTAGATAGCTTTTATCACAACTCTGACTGTTTGTAGAATAGCTACTGGATTGTTTGACCTCCCAGTGATAGTTACAGTATTGGAACTGTGAAAAAGTGATGTCAGTATGTCTGTGAGCTCGGTTTTTAACACTGACCAGTCCACAATGTATATATGCAGTATCATTCTAATCTTTTTGTCTCCTTTCCCAGTTCAAATGCTGTGGAGTAACAAACAAAACAGACTGGTATGATGTGCTGAATGGAACACTGCCCTCATCCTGTTGCTCTGTGGGGACAGACCAGTGTGTTGAAGGATGGAGTGAGGTTGGTTTGCTGCTCAGCCAGAAGCTGGGCTTTTGGGCTTTTGGGCTTTTGGGCTTTTGTTGCACAAAGAATCCAGGGGCGTGAAATTTCATCCAACATGTTTTTATTTTGCCTGATTCTCTCAGATGAAATCTATATGTGTTCCAGATGCACAAGAGACTCTGAATGCTTTGATGAGTTCAAGCAATTAAGTGAGTAAAATTAAGCCACAGATACTTGTAGCAGCAACTGAAACACATGCATTTATGGCTAAGTTGCTCCTCTGATTCCATTGAGGAGTATCTTTCAGTTACCAGTGGGTCTTCTTCAGAGCAAGGGTGATGTAATTATTCAAATACAGACCTCATGGCTGCTGATCTGGGACAGGAGGCTGTGTCTGCCCTGGACTCAGAGGACCTCAGGTATTCTGTCACACCAGCAACAGCAGGACAGTTTAACTCCTTATAGACACATCTGGAAGTTGCCTCAATTCTCAGTCAAGCTCCTATTTGTATCAATATGTGAACACGCATGGATCACAACATGAGCTTGTTTTCACTCAGTAAGTATGGAGCTGGTTTTTCTGTATTAACTCTTCAACCAGCAGCTACATGTTGGAGGTTCAGTAAAACACAGAATAAGCAGAAGGGCCATAAGACGGACACAACATGGATCTCATTGCACAGGTTTCTGAAAAGTCACAGATGAGCATGTGTGTGCATTGACCAGTAACACAGTGAAACCTGGTTGGTACAGAGCAACACACCTAAGGCTGATTTGTGCATTGGCTTGACACAGAGCCTACACTGTGGCTAACGCAAGTGGCCTATACTGTTGTGAGCATTTATACTTATGTGGTGGCGTGTCTATTGCACTGTAGTTACACCTCCAAACGTTGGCGGTGGGATTTCTATGGAGGAATTAATTCAAACACACCTGAAACACATAAAACACACATAAAACATGGCTTAATAGTTCTACTGGAGCAGAGGCTTGTCCAGGCAAAAGCAAAGTAATCTAGTGTATGCAGTTCAATGCAGCCAGGAGAGCATGGATTTGTATATTGGGGAAACAAAAAACACTCACAAGTGCATGGCACAGCACAGGACAGGAGAGCCAGCTCCTCAGGTCAAGACTCAGCTGTCCATTTACTTCTAAAGGAGATGAGACATTTCTTTTGAGGACAGCAAGGTACACATCTTGGCCAAAGAAGACAGATGATTTCAAAGAGGAGTGAAAGAAGCCATCTACATCAAACTGGAATGACCATCTTCAAACAGAGGAGGTGGCCTACGACACCACTTATCACCCACCTACAATGGAGTCCCGAGTTTCCTCCCCAGACAGTTTAACACCCATCCACACCTGGGCCCATCTAACCAATCCACATGATGGCTGGGTGGGTGAATGACTCACATATGACCTTAACAATTCTGACACTCAGAGCTCACGTGACCTCAACAGCCTGTACCTGTCATACATCTGACCGCTCTTCAAATACTCAGCATCAGACAACCAACTCAAACGCCTGCAAACAATCCAAAACAAAGCACTGAAACTGGCACACAGATTGTTCTCTCATCAGCAACAATAACATACACACCTTGACAGGCAGCAAGACTGTAAGACAAAGACACTAAACAATAGCACAGAGACATTTGAAGACTGCATCCAACAATCCTGCCCTCCAGAAAACCAAACAGGAAACAGATCCAACAGCTGTCACCCCCTTGTCATTCATTTTACAGCTGGCCAAAGCTCCCCAACCTCCCAATCCACCATAACCAAGCAATCAACCCTACACACACAGAACACTATTCCACCACTGCTGCCTAATGTCACCCACTGTACATGCACACATATACATCAATGAAACCAACACACACCGCACATACAAGCCTTCTCTCTCTCCCTCTCTCTCTCTCTCTCTCTCTCTCTCCCTAGCTCTCTTTCTCTCTTCCTTTATTTCACTCTCTTTACTTCTGTCTTCCTCGTTTCGTGCCATGGTCCACATGTGTCCAACCTCTAGAGTCATTTTGCCCCTTCCGCCTCTGCCATCAACCAAGACCACCAACGATGGATAGAAAAGGGCAGAAGCCCTGAGCTCACCAGGCTCATGATCCTCTAATTGCTAGTCAGTTAGAACTGAAGAAGCCTCTTGGATAAGAGGTGAAACGTCTTTAAGAAACTCAAACAAGTCCTGATGCCTTTGATAAAGCAATTGGAGTTAAAAAATCTAGACTACACTACACCATGCAGAAAAATGACAATTCAGTTTCAGTTCAATTTCGTATAGCCCAATATCACAAATCACAATTTACCTCAGGGGCCTTTATAATCGGTGCAGCATGTGACACCCTCTGTCCTTACATCCTCACAGCAGAAAGAAAAAAACTCCCTAATAAAATGGTAGAAACCTCAGGACAATCAGCTGAGGAGGGGTCCCTTTTCCAGGATGGACAGACTTCAATCAATCAATCAATCAACCAAACAATTTCATTTATAAAGCCCAATATCACAAATCACAATTTGCCTCACAGGGCTTTACAGCATACGACATCCAGACTTGCAATAGATGTCATGTGTACAGAACAGAGCAACATAATGAAATGACAGTACAGACAATCCATATGGCATACATGATACAGAGAGAGAGAGAGAGAGAGAGAGAGAGAGAGAGAGAGAGAGAGAGAAAGAGATGCATGGCAGCAATATTAGCAGGGACTGTAAACCATGGGATGTGTAGTAAATGTGCTTAAAAATACAGAAACATGGCCATTTCAGTCTACAATGTGTCTGGAAAGGGAAGATTTTGGAAATGAAATTGAAAAATCTTAGTACTGTACACACATAGTAGCTCTGTGGAAAACGAGTAGAATAAAACATTCATCACATTCTTCATGTGTGAAAGAATCTGATACCCATCTGGAATAAATTCAGATACAGTCTGAGAGAGTCAGGCAGTTTAAAAGATCTTGTGTGTAGCATTTAGGTCAGATTTCTTAGGGACTATTTAGGCCAACTGGCAGCAATGTGTGTGTGTTTTTAAACTATTTTCATTACTTTATATTCATACATTGCCACCACAGCTTTAAGGATGAATCACATTTATTATTATTATTATTATTATTATTATTATCATTATTATTTATTATGGCTCTTTTTTCATAGTTTCAGGGAATCATTTTACTGTTAAATGTTCTTTGTTTTCTCCTCCAAATGAGTTGGGCTGACCTGAGGGTTATTGTTGCTGTTTTGCCAGATCTCAGCTGTTAACTTGTGTACATTGTCAGTATTTCTGATAGAAATTATGCCCAGAACATAAATGACGAAAGTTGTAATACCAAACTGTAATTATCTTTTAAAGAGCTTCTGTTTTGGTGTTTTTATTTGTCTGTTAACTCATCATTCAGATATCTGTGCTCGGCAGTTAAAGGTTCAGTGTGTAATATTTAGGGGGCTTTAGTGGCATTTAACAGTAAACTGCAAATTACAACCAGCTGAAACTTCTCCTGGTCAAAATTCCTTAAGTGTTTACTGTTCAGGAGGTTTTTACTTTAAGTTGAATTATCTCCTCCTCTCCAAAACAAACAGACCAGGTAATTTAAACCTACATAAAAAAATCTGAATAAAGAAGTTTCACATCGAAAAACAAATAAAATATATA